CCAAATGGACATGCTGTCAGTCCTTTAGAGAAAAACCCACTGGTCTACCTGGAATTTGGAGCAGATCTCGTGTGATTCAGTCACATGGTGAAGGCCTTTGCTGGGTTACATAAATCTCCCAAGTGCTGACCTGCTGTATTACGTACAAGAAAATCACCGCTTACTGTCTCCACCCATCAGGAAGCCTGCAGGCGGGGGCTCCAGTTTGGCCACAATGGTGCACCACAAACACTTGGTGGTCGGCTCCGACAACAGGCGGCTGCCCTCCTCCATCACCCCACATCAGCTCGCACGCAGTAAGAATCTCTTCCATTTCCATCCCACAGAAAAGTCCTCCCAGGGCCACTGGTTTTCACCAACCACCTGCTCAAAGACATTCTTAAATGCAACCGAGAGAGAAAAATACAGTGACTGCCAGTATCAGGGGGTAGGCATGGGGCTGATGCCAACATGTGATACCGTCAGTACAGGTGTCAGCATGGAGGAGGCGGGGAGTAAGCCATGCCCCGAGTCCACACTGCTCTATGCCATGCATCGACACCTTCAGAGGTCACAAAGCAGGCACAGGTCATCCCCACCGAGAGTGACTCCTGGGGAGCACTTCCAAAAGGGAGAAACCTAAGGAGTGACCAAAGTCTAGATCACCTACTTTCCAGAGGAGGAACTGGAGGCCGTGACAGCAGGGGGTGACACCTACCTGCTGCCCTCCAACCTGGGCAGAGCTGCGAGAGGCTCTGATCCCAGAGCCTCAAGGCACTGTGGACAGGGGAAGCTCTTTCGTTCCCAAAGCTGATGACACACAACCTAACAACGGGTTTCCAAGAGGCTGCAGCCTTGAAAGACATGAACAAACTCAAAACCAGCACCCTGGACCCATCGGTGAAAAGAGGTGCAGGGCAAACCTCTCCCACACAGGAAATCCACTCCGAGAGCCTTGCTGAGATGTCACTGCAGGACCTCCAACCAGGAGGAATGCCTGAACAACTTCCCCCGGTCCCACGGCAGCCAGTGGAAGGCCCAGTGTGAGCACCACGGGAAGCACCCCCACTTGCTGCATGGTCAGGGTGATCTCCCAGAAGATTCTCACTACCCAAGTCTGTGCTCCGAAGGACAGAGGCGCAGCCTTACCCCAGGTGGGACAGTCACTTCTGACTCCAGCGCCTCTCACCCCCACCCCACCCATCTTCCTGAGTCCCTTCCCAGGGTTGGAAGTCAGACAGAATGAGACACTGGTGATGGCCAGGGTCCGGGGACACAGGCCTGCTGCAGGAGCGAGACGTGTCCTTCCATCTGCTCACCAGCTGCACCACCAGGGCTGCGGCACACACAAAAATCGGCAGAGCTGGACAAACTGAGGGACCCATGGCACCCCCAGCCACAGCCAGCACAACCCACTGCCCAATTCGCGGCTGGATTAACACGAGACCGTAGGCTAAATATCAAGTTTCAACCCAGAACTACATGGCAGCTGAAAAGCAAGACAGAGATAGGGCTTGAGGGGAAGAAGTGTCAAAAGCAGGCATGGGTGTGAGCCAGATGGGATGGCATCACCAGCCATGGAATTGGACATCTAACACTGGTAGAAATCAGAGAGGGAAACAGAATAATCTGGACTATCTAATTCGTTGCCCAAGTGTAGACATCCCTGGAGCAGGGAGTGGGCAGTGACCGGCCAAGCCCTCCAGAGCCCTGAACCTGCCTGCTGGCCCATGCAGGTGGACCGACTGTTCCTCATTTTTGCTCTGACAATGGTTCCCTCTTGCAGAGGACAGGTCTAGGCCTCCCCATGCCAGGACTGCCTGGGGAGCGAGCATACCACAGCGCATTCTCTGTAAGTTACCGGCCCAATCCGACACGGTGCAGCCGCTTCGCGTCCACTGCCGTCCTAACCCCTTGTTCCTGGGAACTCCTCCACGCTTCTGCACCATCTGCACTGGGATCTGTGGGTAGCTGCCCCTTTCCTTGTCATCTTCCCGCTCAGCTGCAGCAGCCGGTGAAGAACAGGCCTTGCACCTACCTGATCACATCAGTACCTGGAGCCCCCAAGCTCTAAATCCTGCTGAGCTTTTCTTCGAACCAAATTCCAGGCATGCAGGTCACTGATGAGAGCATCTCTGTATACGGGATGGCAGCGCCTGCTGGTGCCGGCCCGAGGTTCTGCCTCCTCATGCCTCGTCTTTCCCAAGATACTTCACAGAGCAAAGCCACGGTCCTGTCCCTTGCTGAGAGCAGCTGGTTCATAAATTACATCCTGATTTCTAAGAGGTCAGGCATCTAGTTTTAAACCCTATCCTCAGGTTAAGATTTAACAAATAGTCCTCATGATTATAAAACTGTATCTTCTTCAACCACATTTCCTTATGCCTGCCCTTTCCTTATGTGTAAATGCTCAACTTCTCTTCTGAATTGGATGCTGCTTTTCACTGCCTCTGGCTGGACATTTGAGCCCCACCTGAACGTCAAGGCTCCCAGGAGCCACACCCGGACCCATACTGGTGTCTGTGCAAACGCCAGCAGTGTGGGTGCACCTGCCTGACCCTGACAATAGGCAAGATGTGCCGCCTCATGTTCTGTGTCCTGGGCACCTCGCTTGCTCACGCTCAGACCCGGCCCCACCTGGACCACTATGAGAAAGCCTGCCACCGCCTGCTCTCCCTGATGTTTCCACTTGCCCCTGGACATGCCTTCTGTGTTCTGCCTGCTGTCCCTTTACTTCATTTCTTCCATATCAGTTTTTCTTTCTCATTGGTTTTCAAAGGAAAAACGCTGAAACTGGTCTCTCCTGAGCACCACCTGGGACCCGGGAAACATCTCTCCTTCCATGAGCTGCTCCTCATCACTGCATCTTGGCGGACCCTGGCTCGTGTCCGCTGTGTTCACTGCCCCTGGGCACCAGGAGGCCACTCCTCCATTTGACTGGCTTTCTGCAGAAGCCCATGTGGAGCTCCCACTATTCTAGAAGGCAGAGCTGCCCAAGTCTGACTGCTGGACAGCTCGGTCTGGCCACAGCGGAATGGCAATGCCAGCTCCTTCCTTTCACTACCAACAAGGCACAAGACACAACTTTATGACTGAGCCACTTTGATTTGCTTGGACAGTAAGTACACAAGAAATACCAGAGTTTTCATGGTAACTTTGCCAAACAGTTGGGACAGTTAAATTTCCAGGGGTCTGAACTGGGGTGGGGGTAAATCTTATCCAGTAAAGTAACCCAATGAACAGAAGATGGCTCTGAGAGAGGCCGCCCAGTGACCCTGAGGACTCAGTCCTCAGGTCAGACACCCTGCACCTCGTGCTGGTCCTGTCTGCGCAGGTGCCCCATGATCTGCGACCCTCCTTCCAGGCTGCTTTCCAGGAGACAGTACGCTTTCGGGGGCACCAGCTGCAGCGGCCTCTCCAGCATGCACCACACCCAGGGCCAAGCCAACCCATCACAGTCGAGCACCCACCTTGCCTGTGGCAGGACACACCCTGGGGTCAAGAAGGAAGGACCCAAGCTGGGGCACCTTAGCATGGGATAAGCGTAGCCTCGTAAAAGCAACAGAACAGCAGACCACACACCTCTAGAAAGCATTCCAAGTTTACTCGCCCCAGCTACTCAGTGTGTGCGCTGACCGGCCGTGTGGCGTTGCTGGGCACCTGCTAGGTGTATGGCCTGTCTACACAGTAGGCCACAGCAGTGAGACCCAAAGGCTAGGCAGAGGAAGAACCAGGGATTGCCTCACTCCGCCGGCAGGAAGCCAGAGCTGGCCATGCCTCCCCTACTTCCTGTCAACAGTTCCGTGTTGTAGTCTGGGAAATACTTGCTATAGCACCGCATGCTTTACAATTATGAACTCACAGAGTCCTCGTCGTAACATGAAAGACAGATGCAGCTCTACTCCAAACCTGAAGATGGAAGTACTGAGGTACAGAGGTGTTAGGGGGCACCGCTCATGGTGGTAGAGTTAGGCCAGCTTCTGATTATGGCATCAAATTAAGCAGCGAAGTGTTTAATGAGCGGCTGTGTGGCCTGTGTGTGTGAGCTTCCTTGCACAGCCACAATTTCTGACTCAGGGCCAGAAGTGTCCAACACAGAAGTTCAACAACAAGGAGACAGCAGGCACCTTGTGGCCACAAGCCTCCAGCTACCTGAGCAACCTAAAAGCGTTCTGCCCAGGGGGCACCCACCGGGCTGCCCCCAGGGCCTCTCCCCAGCGGCCAAGGTCTGCGCTGACCTCCCAGGGACCACTAGACATCTGTGGCCAGCTCACTTAGTTCAAGGTCATTTAATATGGCTGTTCCCCGGTGGCGTTAGCCACTTGCCAGGTGCTTGCTAGCTGTTGGAGGCTGCTGGAAAAGCACACGATGGAAGCACCGGGATCACTTCCAGCAGGTCAGGAAGCTCTCCTGGTCAGCCTGCACGCAGGCACGTCTCCTCACTCCCTTTCCCCTTTGAAATGCCTCAGTCCAAACATGTCTACTGATATTAATGCCACATGGTCAGAGCTCAGACGCAAGACAACCCACACAGCTCAGGGACACGGTGCCCCACGGCCCAGGGACATAGCACCCCATGGTCCGGGGACATGGCACCATGCGGCCCAGGGACACAGCCGTATTCCACATAGGGGTGCACACGGAGCAGAGAAGTCCCGGGTTAAACATGAACCCCAGGGCCAGAGTCGGGAGCGTGCAGCTGGGGCCCCTGACACCCAAAGCTGGCTCGGCATTTCCCACAACACCCTGGGAAGGCTGTCTCCACCTGACGCAGTTCCTTGTTGGGTTCCAAATTTCTGCTCTGGCCTCTGTCCCTCTCTTCTTTTCCCTTAATGTCCATCAACCCCTGTGATCACATTCTTGTGACATCTATGGCACAGAACTTTGAGAAACAAAGTGGCAGGTTGCATGAGGAATTACTTACCTGGCCAGGATTAACAGCCTATTAAGTCAATTTTAAGTAGACCTTAAGCCCTTCTCAAAATTAAAAAAAAATTAATAGTAACAATTATATTACATACTTGTGACTTCTTGTAAGAAATCCAAACACGGTCTACTGCTCCCAGAAATACTTATTGAAACAGCCAACGGGGTCTGCCCCTCGTAGTTCCTCGTGTTCGTGTCCGCTCCGTAACTGTACAACATCCGTGCGCACAGCACATCGTCTCGGAGGGCGGACAAGTGCAGAGGGGTCTGCCCGTCCTCCAGGCGCCCCAGGTTTGTGTCGGCCCCCCTCTGGAGGAACATGCGGCAGTAAGAGTGGTTGCTCTTGATGACAGCGTAGCGCAGCAGGAACCCGTTCTGGATGTCGATGTTGGCACTGTGGTCCAGGAGGATCTTCACGCAGCTCGACCGCTCTCTGATGATGGCGAGCTGCAGGGGCGTCGTTCCCTTGTCACTGAGCGGGTCCACCTCGGCCTTGAACTCCAGGAGCAGCCGCACAAAGGAGTCCCTCCCGTAGTGTGCGGCCACGTGCAGCGGGGTCCAGCCATCATTGCTTTTGGCGTTGATGATGTCGCTCCGGTACTCGGACTCCAGCATGAGGCGGGCGATCCGGGCCCGGCCGTGCATGGCAGCATAGTGAAGCGCAGTGAAGCCGCCGATCAAGTCCTTCACTGTGGGGTCGGCTAGAATTAAAGAGCAAAGGACACATTAGCAGAGCCCTGGGCGTGCGTGAGGCATGGCAGGCTGGAGCCATCGGAAGCTGTCAGGAGGCAGCAAGGACAGGCTCACTCCCTCAGCTGGACACAAAGAATCAACTTGGGCAGACAGTTACCCAGCTTGGCTTAAAGAAGCAGGAGAGATTCAGTGTTGTCAACACACAGGTCACTCTGCTTCCCCCTCCTGGCGACTTCAAGCTCCGGTCCCTGGTGACCCCACTGCCTTATCTCTGTCCAGCCCCAGGCTTCTCTCCTGTGCTGATTGCTGGTCTAAGTGAAGTGCGAGCAGCGAGTCTGCTGCTCCAAACACAATGCACTGGGCTCTGGCAGGCTGAGCTGTTGCAGGGTAGCCTAGGGAAAAGAATAACACTAAGAAGTGGTTTTCTGTGGCCTGTGAAAAGCCCAAGGCATAGCAGATACATGTGAAGTAGTGCTCTTGACAAGCCATGTTCCCAGGAGACAAAGACCACGAATTCTTAGTTTTACAAGAACTTAGCGGTTCACGAAGATGAAGGATAACATGTGACAAGCTTGGAGACATCTGAGCCCTGGACAGACGCTCCCTACAGCTCTCATCCCACCGATGCCTCTGGGGGACCGACAGGGTTCTGTGTAAGTGCCCCAGAAGCTCACGAATCCACTGCTACGGTGAATGGTTCTGCTGCTTTTCTCTTGTATCAACTGTCCATAGCTAGTGGTCTGTTATAAGAGAGATAAAGTAATGTCTTTCACATTTTGTTTAAATGCCTCCAAAGTGATGTGTTTAAATGCTTGAGTATCATGTGGTAAAACATCATTTGGTTCTAGAACACAGAACACCTAGGTTCCCTCATGCAAATCTATTGGAAAAAAATTTTTTTAAAAAAGTGTCAAACAGTAATAACACCAAAACAGTGAAAACTTCAGGTGAGGAGTTGCTAGCAAAATTCACAAAAGCAAACAGTGTTTGTTTAGATAAACGTTACCATTTGAATTCCCCAAACCACTTCACTTCGTATGAAGTGACAGTCTATAAAAGGTGGAATTACTTTAACCTATTTAGGGTGTCGTATCTGGCTTGGTCTTTACTCCAAGAAACAACCTATACTTAGCAGAGGAAAGCAAGAACATCCTAACACGGCATTCTGCTGCCACCTGCTGGCAGAGCACCAACGTACAATCTCAACTGCCCTCCAGCGAAGACGTCTGTGCCTTGCTGATCCAGGGCCCGCGAGGCGCAGGCAGACAGGCAGGACACATGGGAGACTCTGCCTCCCCGCCCCCCAAGGAAACAACAGATCTGGCCAGAAGCTGGTTCTCTATCTGCCTAAGGCTCTGCTTTCACACATTCCTCTGTATCTATGGGCGTCTTCCTCCTCCACTCCAACCTTTTCTCCCACTGAAAGTGCCGTGAAAGTGCTAGCACCATCTTTATCTGCACTGTCCCATTCTGACAACAGAGTTAAACATTTTATCTTTGCTGTTCACTTCAGGTCTTTTTTGGGTTCTGATTCAATTTATGGCATAACGCTGAGCTGCGGCGGTGCCCTGTTGCCCACAGCAGTGACCTATGCTTCAACCCTCAGTGACTTGTCTGAGAGCCCCGTGCAGGAGGTGCTGTGGGCTAACAGGCAGTGTTAGCAAGAGGGGAGCGTATCAGGCAGTCTCAGGCAGAACGTAATAAGACAAGAAAACAATTTCACCTGGGAAAGCCACAGAAATTACAAGATGCCTCAACATACTGTGAGAAACGTGCAAGAGAAAGAGTCCCCAGCTGAGAAAAGTGCCTGTTCAAATGACCCTGCACAACAGAACCTTCCTTGGACACACCCTCCAAAGCAGGATCTCCATCAAACTCCTTACTCCTTCCCCTCATCCAACTCACCCCGCAGGCAAAGAAACATTCCTGTGAGTAACAGCTTTATAGAGGCAAAATAAAACTCAGTCCTTTTCAGACACTGCTGGGCTTGGACACGCATGCAGTCAGGTGCCCACCATCACACTCAGAATACAGAACACCTCTGCCTCCCCAAAGGTGTCTTCATGCCCTCTGTTCCCTGTCCAGGCTCTGAGCCCTGGGCACAGCACCCGACATGTAAGTTCAGCCATTTCTAACAGTTCCTGTATGGAATCACATGTAACTCACTGAATTGGACTCACTTCTCCGGGCCTTGTGTCCCTGGATTCCGGCGTGCTGCAGTGTCTCCAACGGTCCATTTGTTCATAACGTCCAGCAGCATTCTACAATGCTGAAAACATCTACCCAGCCATGAGCAGATGGTCATCCAGTTCCAGGATCTCTGACTAAAGCCACCATGACCACATATGTACTAAGTGTGTTCGTGGGTGTATGGGACACGTGGGAGCACTGCTGGGTCACTTGGGGAATGGACACTGGATGTGAACGCTGCCACTCACGTGGCCCACTCCTGAGTGCCCATGCCTTTCACAGCCTCACAGCAATGAGCGGTAGTTCCAGCCACCACCCCTGGCATCGGGCAGTGAGTTTCTTTGTGCCCACTGCACAGGGAGGCCGCGGCCCGCAGCGCTTTGGTTCACATTCCCCTAAAAATCAGGGTCGTGCGGCTCATTCACTCCCATCTGATTGTCTTATTTTTCACCTTTTAATTGAGAGGGTTTCCCCCCCCTTTAAAATATTTTTTTATTTATATTAGAAAGGCAGATCTACAGAGAAGGAGAGAAGAGAAAAAGCTCTTCTGTCTGCTGGTTTACTCCCCAAATGACTGCAAACAGTTGGAGCTGAGCTGATCCAAAGCCAGGAGCCAGAAGCTTCTTCTAGCTCTCCCATGTAAGTGCACAAGGTTTTGGGTCATCCTCCACTGCTTTCCCAGGCAGGGAGCTGGATAGCAAGCGGAGCTGCCGGGACACTAACTGGCACCTATATGGGATCCTGGCATGGACAGGGAGTGGATTTAGCCACTGAGCCATCACAAAGGGCCCCCGTCTGTGCTGATCCCTCTGCTCACAAATCTCATGACCAACTGTAAGAATCCCTTACACGTATCTAGAGATCAGCCCTTCCCCACATTTTGTGTTTTCCCCATCTGCAGCTTGCCTTTTCATTTTTCATGTTTTGAAAGTCAAAATTTGAAATTTTGAAATCTATTAATTTTAAAGTTATCTTTTGATATCTTTTAATTCAGAAACGTTTAAGCAACATGTCACAGAAATGTTGTTTTCTTGTAGAAATCTGGCATTTTTAGTTCTTAAATTCATTTTTTCACAGACTTATCAGTGTAAAGGAGGGGAAAAGGGAAAGAAGGGAGGTTTTCCATTTGCTGGCTCGCCTCCCAAATGACAGCAATGAAGACAAGAGCCGGGAACCCCATCACGTCTCCCACATGGGGCATTTTCCACTGCTTTCCCAGGCTGCATCAGCAAGCAGCTGGATGACAAGTGGAGCAGCGGGATATGGGATGCTGACGTTACAGGTGAATGGCTTGAGCACACAATGCAACATGGTAATGCTGGCCCCAGCACTTTCATTCAGATCCATGATCTAGCCACCTCTTGATTTTTGTGTACGGTATAAAGTACATTCAAAGTCTGCTATTCTCAGTTAGGCATCTGTTCCAACACAGTGAAAACAACCATCTCCTCCCAATGATTCAGCCAGGTAACTCTGCAGGAAATCAATTTACTATCAAAGTACAGGTCTATTTCAGAACTCTGTTCTGTTAAATCAATCTGAAAGTTCACCAATATGCCAATACCAGACTGGTCTGACTGTTGGAACATTCTGGTAAATTTGGAAAGAGGTGATGTAAGTCCTCCAACTTTCTATAAAATCGGGTTGGGAGACAGGTGTTTGAGGCATTAACTAAAACTCCCACTGGGGCACCCATGTCCCATAATGGAATGCCCAGGTTTTGAGTCCCATCTCCACTCTTCTTTCTAGCTTTCCCAAACCATTTACCATTGCTGTATTCCCAATATTAGTTTTAAAAAAATATTAAGTGTTCCGTACAGTATAGCATCCAAGGTAAAGTTCTTCATGGCTGTCCCTCCTGAGACCCTGCAAGTTACCTTTTGCTCAGTCTTCATCATGCAAGGTTATTTATTAAGTGCCACATTCATTTTCTGCATCGACAGAAATGATCACTTGGTTAGCTTTTATTCTGTACTCCATCTTAATGATTTTCAGATGTAAAACACATCTTGAATGCCTGAGATTAAAATCAGCTGGAGGACAGGCACCTGGCCTGAGAGTTAAGATGCTGGTCCATACAAAGTATCTGGGTTTTAGTACCAGCTCTGGCTCTTGAATCTCGCTTCCCATGAAGGCAAGCCCGCAGAGTCAGTAGGAATGGTTCAAGTGGCTGGAGTCCTGCCACCCACGTGGGAGACCTGGACAGAGTCCTGGCTGCTGGCTTTGGTCTGGTCCAGTCCCAGCTGCCATGGGCATTTAGGTAGTGAACTCATACAGATGGGCCCTCCCTATGTCTTTCTGCCTTGCAAGTTAAAAACAACAAGTGACCATGATGTGGTATCTTTCTTATGCACTGATGGGCTGATCACTCATTGGTCTGTTAAGGACTTTCGTGTCTTTTGTCATAGTGAGTACTGGTCTGTAGCTTCCTTTCCTTGCAATGCCTCTGTTGGGCTGATGTCAGAGCAATGCCAAGCCTCATCCAGTGTCTCCTCCTCTGCTTTTTCACAGGGCCTGCCAAGGATTCTGCTCTGTTCCTTGCACAGCTGAAATGATTCAACAGGGAAGCCAGGTAGGGCCTCAAGTTTTCTTCATGGAAAGTTCCAGTTATGAACTAAGTATCTTAAATGCACATATGGCTATCAAATCATTCTGCTTTTCTCTTGGGCCAATTATGGCAAACCTGTTTTTGTAGAGACCACTCAGAAGCTTAGTGAGACCTTTACTAACTTCTGGATGGCTGCAGGGTCTAGGAAACCTTGGTCTCTTGGAACTGCTCATGTCTTCTGCTTTCTTCATCACTCCTGATGGAGATTTA